AAGACTTGATTAAAACTAGATTTTTTTTTAATTAGTAAATTCACATGATTAAAAAGAATGAGAAAGAATTATAGCATGGTCTTCACTTTGCAGGATAATTTTCTTACGTTTGGAAATATGGAAATGAAATATTCTCCTAAGATTTTTTTTCTCTTTTTTGGGCTGTCATTTCTATCACCTGTGTGGAGACTACTGTTTCCTTTGTTCTGGTTAATTTGTCTTGTTAACGATATGAGCATAAATGGGGTTAATAGTAGTTTATTTTACCTTTGCAGTCCCTGCTGACCCACATAACTGATATTTGTCTTGTTATTTGGATTTTCGTCCCTGGTCCCTGCTACTGCTTATATTTACTTGTATTTGTGCTTTTGTTGTTTTTTACATAATTTGTGTTCAATTTGGCCTAGTTTGTTCTAGTGATGGTCAAATAAATAAGGATAATTGAAGAGATGGTACCCATCATGATTAACCAAGGTAAACCTTTCGACCATTTGAAGACAATCGTCACATATACAGGCCAAACTACTAAAACAGATTGACTAACAAGTACAAGAGGGAGAAGATTACTAGCAAACATAATGACTGAGTCAAGCTTTCGCCTTCATTTGTGTATAGTTCTCTTAAATGTGGCAATATCAGAATGAAACGTTCTTCAGTGGATATGTTCAACAAAATGACAAGATCAGTTGATTTTCACCAACCCTACAGTCACAGACAAATGCTTATTTTGGATTAGGCCTTATATAGAGCCAAATTTGCTGCAAATATCCAATTACAAGACCAACTTACAAATGGGAAACCGGGAGGCATAAATGCCCTAATTAAGTATTCACCTTCATTAAATAAGACTTGAAGCTTTACATGGTGGAGACTAAAGACAGGGCTTGTGGCTACATCACGTAGATAGATTTCCCTTGGAAGAGGTATGGTTCTGATAAGAACTGTAGAGTGTGTGCTTGACGTTTCAACCAGCATGCTCTCGTCGTCCTCAGGAGTGGTGCCTGATAAACCATGCTCCAGATTTTACAAAACAATTGTACATGTATACAAAATTATGTACAGATATTGTTCAAAATCTGGAACATGACTTTTATTATTAGGCTCAAATCAGAACATGATATAAAGTGCTTACCGAGTGAGTTGTGTCGTCAGTAATGCCAGTTGCCAGTGATGTGTTAAACTCCAGAAAACTGTCTCCAAGGGACTTGGTCTTGTCTCTTCATCAATGCTACAGCTAATAAAACCACAGAGTCAAGTAAACAAAGATCAGAGCCGAATAACATACAAGTAGACATCACTGTGATGTCTTTATATAAAACTCTCATTTTCGTGTTGACCTTTGTTTCAACTCTCTTCAATTGTTGGTTGGTCAGCAAACATAACTCCTGAAAAGTTATACTTCTCAACCCTCGAAGCAGCCATTTTACAACTGACACCCCTCTACTTTCTTGGGCTCTTTTAACAGCCCCAGAAAATAGAAAATTAAGACAGTCCAAAATCCTCCAATTTCAATACGATTTTGTATACACCCGAGTGGGGGTTGGGCCCAAAACTCTCTGATATTTCACATTTTACCTGCCATCCCAAGTTTATCAATGAAATTAATCACTTCCTGAAGGACCACCCATTTTTGAGTACATAGGTTTTATACGCAGAGCCAAGATCGCTCAAAACCGGGACAAAAGCACTGGGATTGAAACAAAAGACCGTGTTCGGCACAAGAGACTGAGCTGCTGGGCATTACCGACATTTTTTCAATCTCAATAGTAGAGATAATCCAACCTTGTTTTGGAGCAGTATACCATGGTTTGGGGCATTTAGAGCAAGTGGATTACCACCAGGGACAATGGCACTCCACCACTGCAGCAATGAGCCACACAGCGCCACTACACACTAATCTGGCCACTACACACTTATCTGGCCACTACACACTAATCTGGCCACTACTAATCTGGCCTCTACTGAAAAGACTTCAGCAGCACACTATGCCAAGTTTGTGAACAAAAGAAGGTTACGTAACACTGCACAATCTGGGTTCTTTTTACAAGGCTCCAGGCCTGGCTGAAATACTCGGGCGTCAATGAAGGTCACCTGTCACCTTAGAGTAGCGCCCACAGATCCCTTTTGCATGGGTATAAACATCCGTTAAATGAAATGATGAATTCTTGAAGAATTTTGAAAACTGAAAATCTCGAAAATGGCCCGTATGTGTGCACTGCATTTTTCAAAGCACCCGGCAGCAAGTGGTTAAAGTATGGCTACCCATGCCCATGTATATTACCCGAGTTTAGAAAGGGATTAAATTTATCCACAGAGAAGGACCTCCGTCCCTGTCAACAGTTGGAAAAGAGACGAGACCTGTAACATAATGGCGTCATGCTTAGTTTACATGTGCAGCTAGCAGCGTTTCCTAAGGCAGCGAGGTGAAGCAATATAGTTCAAGTAGAAAATAATAACTTAACATCATTATGTTTTAGGTCCGTATATCAGGCGTTACAAAAAAAGTATGGAATAAGTTCACAGGGGACTCAATCTGTGAATTATACCTTTGGAATGACCAACAACGATGGACCCACTCACCTTTTACCCAGAAGGCAACAGCAAGAGATCAAAGTACCAATCACCTCAACAGGCACAGGAACTCTATCATCAAGAAACTGGATGTACCATGAGTGGCTTGTGCTCTGACTGCAATGGATACACAAAACAGTCTTTAAAACATGTAACAGGAAGAAATGACGATACAATATGACTGTATTAGCCTGGATTCACTGATTATAAGCTGGCAGTGGAGGATTGACAAAGGTGGAGAAACAAAGTTATAAGTGCTTCCTCACTGACCTTGTTCCAGGCATGTGGTGCCAGATAGATGTGATTGAAATGGACACCAAAGAATTATGGTCAAGATGGCTTACATCATAATCCCCAGCCAATGTTGAATCCTTGGTGTGTATGATAGAAGCCAGCCTGTGTTAAGGATATCATAAAAGAAACTCTGGACACACACGTTATTCATTCTGCATGCTGCCACCATATGGAGAGCCTCGATCTGGTAGTTTATACAATTGCATCACAATTGCATCAACGCAGCTTCTGAAACATTGTCCAATCATATGGTATAAGATCTGACACAGCATGCGCAGAATGACCAAGCAACATACATGGAAATCACTGAACCGACTTTGTAAAGATCAAGATCGAGATTCTGCATGCCTGGGGCGGCAGCGTGCAAAGAGCGAATTGTACCAACTGTGGGCTAGTATGCCATATTGTAACAACCTGATGCATTGCAACTTTAATGTATTTGGCACAGAAAGATGGCTTCATTGAGTAAAAACTTGGCTGATAAAACAAAACAAGTCCAGATTTTTTTAAACGACCCCTGTGGAATGTGTACGCCCATCCTTGAACGTGATTTGGATCCAGGAATGAGGACATTTCATTTCAGTACACTCCCCATTCACTACAAGCAGCCTGTAGATGCAGCTTCTGTCTTGTTTCTGTTCACTTTAGCACAAATTGTACAATCATACCAAATAATACCTTCCATTTTTTGTAGTTTAATTCAACCAAACCTTAACTTGAAGGCAAGAGATTCTCATTAGTTGAAAAACTTAAAAGACAAAACCCAAGATCAAGATTTACAGAACAACCGGGCATTTCATTATTACCATTACCATGGACTTATATCAGAATATGATGTAGACTGTTTCCATACCTGTTGAGTAGTGTCACCAGTGATAAGATATCTCTGATTTGTTACACTCCAGAGAACGGCCTCCAGGGACTAGCTTGCTCTTGTCTCTCTGTCAAACTACTGAAACTAGGGAAACTAAACCATGTTTGAATTCCAATCTGTATTACTGCACACATGTGGAGGCCACAATTTCAAAACATATAGGTGCACTTTACAACAGTAGTCAAAACATCATTGAAAGCAGTGCCAAATCAACAAAGATCGGGGCCCACATCACTGGAGTTTCTCATATAAATCTTATCATCTTCTTAGTTGTCATTTTTCCATTTCTTTTCAATTGTTGCTTGACAAAGCTAAGTATAGTTAATTTTCCGAACACCTTAAATACATGTACACCTCCCAAAAAGTCCTTTTCCTCAAGCCTGTAAGCAGCGATTTAACATATTACATCCATCTACTTTTTTTTTTTTTCTTAAGATTTGTTTTCGACCATCTACAGATGCAAGCCCGCAAAACAAGGAGTGTTGATCTGGGGCTATAATTAAACAATCCCACCTGTTTTTTCAGCCAAGCAATCTCTTCAATCTGCCTTGAGTAGAAGCACAACTTAATTGGTTGAAAAACAGCTGTGTTGTTTGGGAGTATTTATTTTATGGTAGCGATGGGGCTGCACCTGTCCTAGTAGTTCATGAACCAGTGATGCACAGTTAGTACCAAAGAAGCCTCTAATGCCAGGGAAATAGTGTTCTCTCTCGGTTCAACTCAAGGCCAACACAGGAGATCACCGTCTATGCAGAAAACATTCCCAAATTATAAACAGTATTAACCGTAACCTCCAAGGGTGCATGTAAAATCTTATTAAAATCAGAGGATTTTGAGGACCATTTTAGCTAATTCATGGCTCCCCATATACATGTCACCCAGTATCTGGGCAAAATAAATTTATTCACCAAGGATGATCCCCAAATAGACATAATGATGTCACACTTTGTTTACACACGCTATATTACAAGACAGTAAGGTGGGGTAGGTCTATAGGACATGAGGGAATGAGTTCACAGGTGACTCAATCAGTGAATCATACCTTTGGGATGACCAATAACTCTTGTAAATCACTCATCCTGTAAGCAACGATTCATCAGTGGCTCATGCTCTGGCTGAAATGGATGCACACAACAGTCATTAAAACACGCAAAATGAAAAGATGGCAAAAAAATATGAGTGGAGGAGCCTGTTTGCCGATTCTCAGAGGGCTTTGAAGGATCGGAAAGATGGAGAGAGCTGATTGAGAATTTGTAATTCACGTATGTGCACCCAGCACTGCCAGTGTATCAATTTAGATATATATGGCATTTTATGGGGTGGTACATGACAGGGGTAGCCACACTCCGGTCCCACCTCCTGCAATACAGCTTCAAATTTTGATCAAAAGAGGCAGCGGTGGTGAGCCATAGCCAGTGTTCAATACCTGTGCATGCTGTAGTCTCACATGGAGACGGCACACCGCGTGTTGCCAACATAGATCAGAGTACAACATAAACTGTCGAAAATATTTTTTGTCGGGGTTTTACTGAAGATATACACGTACCCCACGTATATTTGCAATGGATGTTTGTAATGACATGCATGATAAAGCCAAAAGTGCAAAGGTTTTTTTAAAATAGATATTGGGCCATTTCATACAACAGTCTCATTAGAAGTGAAGTATCATTTTTAACCAATAACATTTCTCACCTTTATTAAACTTGCCTCCTCTGAAGTTACATTTAAACAAACCGCCAACGTGGCCACACACGCGTTCTCGTGCATGGCCATTGTCATGCTAATAATGAGTAGAACAGTATACTATCATAGCCCGTGCCCCTTTTTAGATCACCATCAAGACCATGCAAACATTTCGTAATAAGATAAAGTGATCGACACGGGCTTATTTTACATTTTTAGTATTTACATCATCTTTAACGAATCTTATTTTATTTGGGTTTATCATGAATTAGTCCACCTTTACGGCATGCTAAATTCAGATTCAGACAGGTCAGACGACAACGAACGCTTACCTCACTTTCCCACTTTTGTCATGCTTGTCTTGTCCCGGTCAAATGCATGCCGCATGCGCAGGCGCGCCAATAAATTACCAATAATGCCCGGCGCGCCCCTATTGAAAAAAACAGGGTGAGGCTGTAAGCCAGGAATCCGTGCATGACGTCACTATGTAAAATTCTCGCATGCATGGAAAATCCATTTACAGTATGGGCATGACAAAAAACGTATTTTCACTACCTTAAAGCACGCGAAAGAACTCTTGTCGGCAAGCTGCCACAATAGTCTAGTAGATAACGAGTTGGACCATAGATTTTACTCTCCTGAGTTCGATTCCCTTTGAAACTGCTTTATCCCATTTGTGTTTTTCTTCGGGATTTTTTTTCAATTGAAAGAAAAACAGAGCAAAGTGAATCTGAGACCCAAGAACCTCATAAGTGTCTGTAAAAACCACGATGAGTTGCTGTTGGGTATCAGTACATGGGAACTACATTGGATCCAGGCAGGTGGTGACATCATGCACAGACTTCCTGGCTTATAGCCTCATTCATTGAGAACAAAGTCAAAATCTTAAAATATTTAGCGCCCTCGTTGAAAAATATTATAGCACCCTCTGTTCAATCAATATAGGGGTGCACCCTTGTATTTAGGGCCAAAATAAAGTCCATCGAGTTTATTTATAAAAGTTATACTCTCAAATGATATTAGAGGGTCCTGAGAGCCATGGAACTGGGGAATCGAAAAAATATGAGACTAAAGCTCTGGGCCGGACTCAGGGCTTCCAACTCTGAGCAATTTGGAAGCAATCAGGTCCAAAAGTGGCACTACTTTAGCCATTTTTTTAGCTATTTTAGCCATCCTATTCCGGGAACAGTGTTCTTGAGTCGTGTTCACGCCGTTGGAGCGCGAGAACAAGATATCCGTGTCAAGAACAGGCCGCCCGAACTCAACCATAGCGCCCTCTACTGATTCAATTCTTTCGCTGTTTATTCAAAATATTGTAGCGCCTTTTGTGTAACGAATATTTAGCGCCCTCCTCTCATTGGCAATATGAGTAGCGCCCTCAATTTAACATTATCCTAAAAAGAAAAACAGCGCCCTCTGTTGAATTGAAAGTTGACTAACGTCCACTTGTAAGCAGCAGCGTCCCCAGGACGTCATCGAAAAAGTCGAAAAACGACAAAATTCCATGATTATAGCGCCCTCAGTAGATCTCCAAGGAAACTTTCTAGAAGAATTCCAAACTCCAAAATCATTGACGGTCATACTGCTTCTTATCAGACTTTGTGACCAATGTAAATAAGTACGGAGGATCAGAAAAATATTCACGTTAAAACAGCCCCACATGTGCAAAGCCAGAGTTGCAGCCAATGCGAATGACAAAATGATTTTATAATAGTTTTACACTGTTAATTAAAGTGAGGAAATTATGCTCTGTCTATTGAAAAGAGAAGCGTCACATCTATTGAACACGTTGGTCGAGTTCGGGCGGTCTGTTTCTTGTTCTTGCGCTCGAACGGCGGGAACACGACTCAGGAACATTGTTCTCGGAACGGGCGGATCACACACCACCTCCTCGTCAAGGTTTTCACACGTAAAAAAAAAATCGTGAGATTTTGATTTTTGAATAGCTGCAAAAAGTAGAGAGATGGTTTACAAAGCCAAAACAATGGGAAGCTTTGCAAAATTACAATTAGTCACTTTTCATAACAAAGAAATGAATGTTACTATTTAAATAGAAAAGAAATCAGCCCAGTTATCCACACATTAACTCTCGAATGACGTTTATACTCATGGACACCGCTGTGTTGCATATCGCTTGCAACTAACCACCAACAACAACCGGTATCACTAAAAGATAGTGCTTGGCCTGAATCGGATGCAAAATATATTTAAATCTTGATCGCAAGTTATCTTAAGTGATCTTTAACCCCAACAGTCCTCAGCCTTCCAACAGGTAAAGGATTGAGGACTGTTAGGGTTAAGCGTTTTCTTCAAACCAATTTTGGGGTCACCAAAAAGAAGTGCCCTCGGGAACAACGCCATAACTCTGTAACCTTTAGATCAATGAACTTCAAACTTAGACCCAAGGTATATGCAGAAAGGTCCTATTTTTACTGAAAGTTTCAAGGTCAAAGTTGACAGGAGTCAAAAGTTATTTAGGGTCACCATACGGGGACGCCCCCTACTAACCCTAACCCTACGCGCCAATTTGTACAAGCAGAGATCATATACAGATAGGCCCTTGGGCGACGTGTTTGGTCGTGGTTAGCCAAAAAGTGGGTCAAATCTAACCCTTGGTCCAGGATGATATTTATTACCACTTCTTCTGATTTCCCCACATTGAGGTCTTGTATTCCTTTTATTCCCTATCATCCATAGTCAGGCAGAATGTGATTGACAGGTCTTTTCCGTATAGACACATTCCGGGACGTTTAACGCACATAATCGCCACCAGTGCCTGGTAATTAAAGGTGGGGCACACTGTCTGGATAAGGCACAGCCATCTTGCTGCAAGCACCTGATTTCTTCTTACGCAAACCCACGGTCGAGACAGCCGCCAAAGTGTATGACGTTCTTGGAAGGTTCGGGTTCTATCGTCCAGCTCGACCTGGCCGGTATCACCTTAGTGTATTGGTGCTGTCAAGTCACCTCGAGGTAAGGACAGCGAAAAACGACCGAAGCAGACCAGTTCCCGAGGACAGTCACGCCAAAAATATCTTCTGGGCGAGCCAGCAGGCGGTGGCCTTCGGGAGACTGCTGAGTGGGACTGAAATGAACTCCGTCATTTGTATAAATTAGGTTCTCTTTACAGCCGGCAAGCTGACAGGTCTGACCGATGTATTCCTATTGGTACAAATCTCGTAAATCGGGCATAAGAGAAAATATATATGTATGTGACAGGTGGGAGTCTACAAGGGGCTACGGGGAATCTAGATAACTGTTGTTTAGCCCCTCCCCCAAACAATTCAAACATTAGAACAACAGAACATTAATAACGTTCAAAGGTGACGTCTTGTGCAAAGGGTCTGGCCTCCCAATTTGGCTGGTATGTGCTTTGTCATAATTATGTAAACAGGTATGTTTAAACCAGCTAGGGGCTAGAAACGTACCCACGAGAGAAGATCATTTCCTGCATACTGTAAGCTCTCAACTAACACGGACGGGTATACTGTCCCTTGGCAGCTAGAAAAAAATATTTATCCTTGACAATTTCATTTCTGCATTCATGTTTCACCCATATATACACTCAGTGAATTAAACATAATACTCCAACCACTTCCTTCACTGCAGACTGCCATGTTTCTCAGTAATATGGCCTTGTGCTGTCCCTCCCCAAGGATTATCTTTGATTTCTTCAAGATACACTCGTCCAGGTATCGACCTCTTTGCTAGGCATTAGTTTCAAGTCATGGAGGTTTAATAACTGCCTGGGTGACCGCACCCACATGGATGTTGAGATTAGCCAGAGTGATTGTGGTCCACGTTTACGTTACTAGCGTCCGCCAAGGCCAACGTGTTACGCTTGAGGAATGACCAGTCCATCACAGTCTGAACGTCTCATACGAAGTGCCCCTGATCTACCTTCTTACACAATTTCTGAAGGACAAAGCTGTCTTACGGACTGTGATACCTGGAGTGGATCGTGGATCATCTCCAAGCGTTTACTCCTTTACATGTACAGCATTTGCATGATCATGTACATGTCCCGCGCACACATTAGACACGACTGCACTGAGCGCGCGACTCTCCACTACAAGAATGTTACTCAAAGATCCTTGCCTAGCTTCCAATTTATACACATCAATATTCATAGCATTTGATGGTTCTATGTTTATTTTCAAATCATTGCATTTTCATTGCTAAAACTATACCCTTTCACCAGAATATCACAACTTATACTAAATTTATAACAGACACCGGAATATAACAATGAGTCAAATTATACTAACACCAGGCAGTTTGCAAACGACACGTGTACTGTACAAAATGCTGAAGGCGAACCAGGACTGGGAGCCATATACACATTGATTACTTTTCCTTGATGTCTTCTTACAACTCCCTCCTTTTCATAATACAACGTTTGTAAATTGCACCTGCTTGGTGATCAAAGCTGCGCAGACTATCGGGACGCATATTGTCAAATAAGTGGGGCTCAAATGCCAATAATTTCAGGATTGTTCTAAATGTACGTTAACAATTAGGAAAGCTACTGCCTCTTGAAGTAAAACTGAGATTGTGAAAGCTTGATGAATTTATCCGGAGAGGATGAACATTAACACCAGAATTTGCTCAAGTTGAATGTAATCGTTACAGTTTTATTCACGGGTAAAACAACATGACCGTCAAACAGAAGTCACATTGGCTTATCTCACAGCCGGTGCGTGAGGGCGGATTCCGTTTCACCCAAGGAGCTCGATGGTACCAAACTTGAATTTTTTTCTTTCTTTTTAAACCTGACATCATGTACAAAGGCTCCCAATCATTACAAATGTGAAGTCTGATGTCAATCAAATGAATGCTGACGGTCATTGGAAGTTCAAGGCTACACGCGTGCTCTCTCCTAGTCCTTAGCTAAGCTTCTCACGAGGCGTGGAGCCAGTAAGTTTAACCTATAAGGGCCATCCAGAAAATAGGAGACTAACAATTAACCCTATCGATCCCGTCACATTTCTTGGTTTTGCTTCACGCATTCTCATTTTGATTCTGCCGTGAATTGAGGCAATTTTACTAACATTCTGAGGAAAGATATTTGGTCATTTTTTTGTGAATTATCTGCTACAGTGTACATTACTAGGGAGGTTTTTGCAAATCAACAGACATTGGGTTCGATCGAAGTGACATACAGTATAATTGGTACGTCGCAGTAAATTTCAATTTCTCCGTTTTCCTTTCTTGACCTTTGTTGCTTTGTCACTGTATTAGATAGTTCTCTCAATTATTACATCAAAGCTTTATCCACAGCCTCCATATTTCATACGTGAATACATTAGTCGCTGCCCATTACAGAAGTCACAATGAAGTATGTAGCTACAGCAACTCCAGCAACCAGAAGAACACCAGTAATCAATCCAATGGCACTCCACATGTTAGCTCGTTTGGCGGCTTCTTGAGCACCGTTATAGTCGCCAGCTAAGTACAGAGTTTTAGCCTATTGAAAAACATACCCAAAGTTAAATTTAAATTGAACATAAACTCCTTTTTTTTAAGAAATTGGCAACACAGGAAACTCAACATGAAGACATTCAAGTTAAGTATGTGCTGCATGAGTAGTGTAAGGCTAAACACCCGTCTATGCAACTGAAGTTGCGCTTGTGGTGTGGATCGTTAAAAAAATAGAAAACCTCGTTTCCTCTCGTTACTACCGATGTATAAAAGTGTAACAAGACAGACCCTAAAGACGTAACAGTAAGCTTCTAAATGATGATTTAAGTTTTTTTTGCTTACAATCTACAACAAATCTATATCATAATTTTGTTTACTGGAATTGTTGAGGTGCGTGCTGGCAAACATTTCCCCCTACATCGCTTAAATGTAAATTAGCCGCATAGCAAGCTGGCAGATCGTCCTTCGGAATCACAGACACTTACAAAGAACATGCACAATAGAAATCAACAGGAACTGTAAACCGTACACGAATACAGTGGTAATGATGCGCAGTTAATCACACTACAAAATAACACCCAGGGTGTTATCAGAAGACTAAATCAACACTTTCACTGGTTGGTGTTATTTAACTCTCTAGGTGTTACTTTTAACACCCTCTGGTGCATTGTAAAGCTTACGGGCATGTCAAGTAACACCCTAGCTTTGATGTGGTCATAACACCAAAATGTGTTGTTTTTAACACAGCAGATTGGCAGGCAGTGTATTAATCTGACGCATCCAAAAAAGAGCTGGTATCTTCTCCATTATACATGGATTGAGGAAAATAATTATATGGAAAGGAAAGAGCACTCAAGATTAATTTGACAATATTCAGCAACATTTACGGCAATATATGTAACGGGTCCTACTCTCGTCGTCTCTAGGGATCAATAGCATTAAGACAACCTACTTTTTCTAACTGGGCAACAGCCAGCCAGCCAATTGGACGACACCACCACACACGAATGCAATGAGCAAAGCATTCCTCTCGGGCAAACATCTCATTGGCTCCTTGTGCAGGCGGGCTGCAATATATCGGCTGCCAATAGATTCAAAGCGGCAATAACATTCAAAAAAGTCCCAAGGTGAGTTTTTAAGTTAAAATGTAAAGAACCAATGTTTTGGTCTTTGCTTCAACATGTCATGGCTTGTATACATGAATACCGGAATGGTGTATAATTATTATTTCAACATTGCCGAGATGATTATGGGAAACGGGATAAACAGAGATAATGCCAAGTAAAAGTTCTGAAAGTGTATATCGCATCTTTAAAATGTCCCAGGTTAGTGTATATATTGCAGTTTACGTATACAACGTATACAAGCGAAATTCTGCACGTAGTATGAAATCAAAACGGGCAATATAATTCAGGCATCTGCTGTATGCCACAACAACAAGAATCACAATTTAAGCAAAATTGAAAATCTACAATGGTCGATAAAGGATCGTATTCTGGAACATAAACATGGCACAATGGTGGAATATTCTATTTGTACGAACCTGTTGCATTATAGGTGGATGTTGTTGCTCATAGTAAGGTTGCGAATATTGCTGCTGGGGATTACCTTGGTCTCGGACATTGGGCTGAATTACACGTCATAAAGAAGTTTGCAATGTGTCAGTGAAATAAAAATTGGTTGCACTTAGTTGGATTAGTTTTAAATGCTTATGTAGTTTGGTGCAAGCTATCCTTGAACACAAGTAGAACCACGTGACCGCAACCTTAATGAGAGACCTCTTCTTTCTCTCTTAGAGCAAACTTTTTTGGAAGCTTGCAAGGTGACATTTCCTACAAATTGAAGCAGTCATAAGACCACACTTTCAAACAATGAAAAATCGTCGTACACCAGAAAATAGCTATACTTTGTTGCGATCAGAAACACCGCAGCTTTGGGTGTAAAAATAGTTATAAAATGGGCACGGTGGCTTCTAACTAGTCATGACAATCTGACAAACCACTTATCTGGTATTTTGTGGTGGTTGCGATTTCCTGTAATAATGCTTGACAAATTTTGAAAACTTACATTGTATGGGGGAGGGGGGTCCGTGGTTGGGCAGGGTATCTCGTTAATAACTAAATCTGGAATAAATAACACAACCATAAAATTAACTAACGAATGATTACAGTTTTATTGGCTCATTTTTTAGTACAATATACCCGTTCTTCGATAAATTGTTATTTTAAAGAACCTAATAAGCGAGTGAGAAAAAAATAAAGGCTATCCAATGCAGATGAAAACACAGAAAAGGGTAATTTGATGCAGATAACGCAAAATTATTTTAATTATTATTAATAAGGTATACATTGTATACCTAATACTATAATACCGCCTATTTCCTGGACTTGTGAGCGCGTCCTGAGCCTGTAATAGAATACTCGTATGGTTCGATTACGCATTTTGTTTTTCAATTTTTGGACGAACACTTCGAGTTACAAAAAAAATTGCATGTATCTGCTGTTGAAAAAAATGTAAATTTTTAGTTTTCACAACTAAGTAATAGGTGAATTGATTGCTTTCAAATCCTGACTATACCCATCCATACACCTTGATGTCAGCCAATTATTGATGAACAGTTATTACTTCCGCAGGATTGTTCAAACCATTCAACGAAAAGCCTGGAAATGTCACATGACTGTTTTATAGAAACTCGTCTACTAACGAAGGTTCATCTCAACATTTTGTTTCAGTCTTCCATGGGGTGAATACTTCAAACAATACAGAAAAGGCATTTTAATCACTCTGGTTGTTATCATTTTGTGCAAAATTAGTACTTCCAAACCCTCTCCATTTTCTAATCAATGTGCTAGTTATATTGCAAAATTTCTGTATTATATTAGGCTAACTTTTACATTAGTGACATTAAATTCTAGGTTAGGCTGTCTTATGTGTTACATTATATAACACCTACATACATCCCCGTCATCTGATTGGTGGATCGTTTATCACATGGCACTGAGTTATTTTTACCAACACAAAGACGTAGAGTGCAAAAATTCATAACAACTGTGCGTTAGAAATGGATAACAAACAACTCGGGATCGATTGCGCTGCAGCTTCTAATGGCGCAAGTTTCTTGATGGCAAAATGATGAGAGGTCAAGCTCCACTGTTCACAATTCTAGAAATAATTATAAAAACTTCTTTTAGTAAGTAATGCTGATGTTGTCATCATACGAAAGCAGAGCTCGGAATATAATGTCGAAAACTTAACAGATTCACAACTGAACAACCTCCACTTTGAATCAGTTAATTAATGAGATGACGAGGAATTATACAGGTATTGTATTAAAAAAATAAATGTTTCGCAATCGCCTCGTGGAATACATCGTTTCATTGTCACCTCATGCAATTATTCTTACCATCACACTCATAAACATTCGTTATTTGAATAATGAAGGGGTTTTAGAGGAAAGTAATTTGGTATTATTGCTATTGCGACAGAATTAGACCGATGTATCTAATTCTCTAATTCAACAGTCGGGTGTAACAAGGGCACACAAATGTCGTGCTTTGAACCCTGAATTTGTAGTCTAACCCATATCTATCGGCCTAGACAACCCGCACAGACTCCCTTACTCTAATGAACACTGCTGTGGTTGACTGGCAGTACCAGCGCCTGGACTACTATGACATACGCACCTTTGTTTATGTCGTCTTCCATGTTGTACGCTTTACCAATCTAGGCCTACACCTTCTGTTACGTAGCTCACATTTACCTCTCATTTAGTTGTCTAGCTGTGTATATAACAGGAAGAACAATACCAGATCATGTCAATAGTCCAAAGTTCATCGATCGTTTTAGTCATGTGCCTGTCGAATTGGGTTATCGAGAGCTTACGGTAGGTTGGTTCCGCGTTTATTCCCTAAAGAGAACGTTATACCGGCGACCAAGTCCACTTTCTTGGTTTTGCAGCCAGTGCCCGATACTGATATGGAAGATTTCGCCATCCAAAATAATAGGCGGGGAATCGCACACACAAATATCTTCAAGTGACGGCATGGGCGTAAATCCGGGTCAACGAGGTATATTTTATTTTCCCCGCGTTTTGACGAGGGGTGGGTTATGGCATTGGATCATGCCCTGTGGTGGGGAAAAATAAGGCAGATTGTGAAGACTTTATCGGACTCTCCAAAAACAACAATGTATTCAATAAAACTCAGACAGGGAGAACGAATATGCCGTTTTGGTGTAAGGTTCTGCATGGGTGTAATGCTTAATTACAGACGTACATCTGCATCTTGTACATCTGCAGCGGAATACCCTTACGACTTATTTTTACAAGTGTCTAGCCAACATTGAAATTTTGTACTGGACTGGAAATGTCTGGCTGAAATTTCTTTAATTGTGAAGAAGCATCCAAAATCAGCCTTATTTATAAAAGTGCAATGGAAATTTCAATTAAGATCATCGCAAGCCAGTTGAGCATTACCCTTTGCAGACTGAGGTCAGAGATCAGAGGGCTTGAACAGATCATAATCAGTTACATCACCATTTTGGACGACTGGCATAAATTTTGGAATGCAAAACAAGAAGAGGAACATAACACTCTTTTTAACTGTATCTCGGAAACCACATCAAAAGCCATTCCGGGATAATTGGCTGTGACTTGACATTGTCTACCCTCAAAATGTGGCTGCAGCCACATCGTTCCATAGAGTTGTTCTTTATTTAGTTCTTTATTTCTATTAATCCAGACATCGTTTCACATTTCATATTCTTACTAATGATTGTGTTACTGCCAGTGGTGTATCCAGCGGGGGGGGGATGTTTGCGTATTTATTTTTACAAGAAGAGGATGATTTCTTCGGTATATTTTTTATCAAACAACGCAAGCAAATAGAAGCAAGGATTTTTCTTCAACAACAACATGTTGAATGAGCCCGAAGACGCTTCGCTTTTGGACCCCCCTTCCTGACACCAAAAGCTGGATACGTCATTGGTTACTACATGCAGAGACAAAACAGAGACAAGGATCCAGGGAACTAAATGTATTAGTAACAGATAAAGAGTCGAAAATTTATTCATATTTCAAACTTCAAATTTTAATACGGAGAAGATATAAAAACACTTCAGGACGGGTTCATTACAACGGAACTACTTGTTATTGATACTTCATAATTTCAAATGGGTGATTACTGAATAACGCCACAAGCACCAGCCAATATAGCGATTCGTCTGGTGATCGTTTGTATGTCACGTGTTGCTGACAGTGATTTGTCGTGTGGTGGCTTGTGTCGCTGAATGAACTAAAGGAAGGTCTTAGAATCAAGATAATCCACGCTTATGCGCCTCAATTCGCTTCATATCATAATGTGTGACAGACATTAATTAGTAGTCAGCATTGGCCTTGTCTTGATTCAAAAACAGATAAGATCCGTCGAAACCTACAAGGTAATTGCTCTGTCAGAAATATCCATAACGAGTTGCAAGGGTTTCAATATCGTTCTGGACTGAAACAGGAACTAAATTAGGCCCAGACAAATAAGGGTTTGTGCAAGTGGATAAACAAATACTTGTAGCAACAAGTGCCTTCGACGTTGATTGTAAGCAGGGCTATGCATACATCATCACGAGAAATATCATGATAGAGAGAGTGAGCCCAAATAAGATGAAACAGCCAGAGAGGGCAGCAGACCACGCCCACCAGGTAGATGCCTCGGTAACCTGTGCTGATGCATAATACTTTCCTTCTTGACGGAAACGCCTTGCCTAGAATAACAATGCAAAAAATAGCAAAGTGGTAAAAGTAATTTTTGTAAGCGTACACCATTTTCTACACCATGTAAGGGGTAACCTGGGGGAGGGGTATTTCAGTATCAATAATATCCAGAGCATTCTTGTTTTGTGATCGTCCAATATTGTCCTAATGGTATGGAAAGGGAGAGTTTTTCCCAAAATCAACTGAACCACCTTCTTTCGATCACCTGCACGTACCGGTACAGCGCCATATATACGCCTGTCAGAATTCACTGAAAAAACCCAAATCCCTGAAGGTGCATGTGCGATCTTGCTTCGTAATTGGATTCACTTATGCAAAATTTCATCCATATTCACACAAAACCATAGAGCTTGTATGACAACCAAAGCAGTCTTACTTGTTTAGCCCTTAAAATGGCCATAAAACCACAAACTGGGCAACAACATGTCACCAAAATGGCGGTAGGAAGTACGTCAGCATCGCGTGGAAACATTTCCGGTATTCCTTCTTCCATCGTTGAGGGTGTCGTAGGTTGGTCACGTCCTGATTCCACGGCGTTATTGCATCGGTCCCTATCCTGTCGATATTATAGGCATAGGATCAAAATGACTTTTATTCACACAAAACCTTTTGGTGGAGGATTCAATTGATATCTATGCAGCTTACCGTAACCGGCTGAATAGGGAGTATCATATCTTAATTCTCAATTTGAGGTGTTTTAGCCACAGACCCGTTTTAGTCCTCATGTCATTATCCTCGATGGAATTTTACGAAGTGTTCATTTGTTACCAGGTGCTGGCCGTGGGCTGCTGTTCACTGGTTCACTGCGTGAATGACACACCTCACCAACAGTCGACATATGAAGCTAAAATCAACTCAGACTGCCCCTTTTCACCACCGGAAGGATACAAGGACTCACCACTTCAGTTCTAGATAGTCTGCCATTTTTGCACTCTATGTGACGACTTTCCAAGTCGGCTCCAGTGTGATGTTCTGATTTTTCTGTATCTGTCAGAGTCAGAAGTCGGTCATACAACAACGACCCTCCCTTGATCTGAGATTTAGCTATTGAGATGTCTGACTCTTCGTAGGCAGCTGTACTGGTTCCTGGCCCACTGTCTGGAATGAGATCTGAACATAGGATTTGGGACCGAGTGTAAACAATTTTACTGGAAGGAATTTCAGGCCTTTGGGGTATTTCTTAATTAATTATAGGCCTAACTGCACCAATGGATAAAAATAAACTTGAAGGACAGGCTCGTTTTTACGCTTTCTACTGTCCTTCCTAACAGCGTGCGGGATCAACGAAGGCACGACTGCTAACGCGTCAGAATAGTTAATCTTCGCGCACTGATTAGAGGGCTGTCAATTACGTACTTTGAATCATTCATGTAACTGTATGACATCATTGATTGAACCTCGAAAACGGTTCTTTTCCGCGGGTTTTAATAGACGTTCCATTACACCCTCTCAGAAAGGGTAAAACCCGTAGGTGAGGCAGTAGCTCGAGCTTTGATTTAATTGTCTTCAACAAGTAATGCAAAGATTTCAAAGGATTAATTTTGGTGACACAGCCATGAAACAAAGGATTAATATTTTTCATCCATACGACTGAAAAAAATACATTCCAATTGCCGTCTTATTACCAGAAATAATTCGGACCATTTTTCTGTGTACATAGGCCTATACAAAGGGACATTGGCCTGGTTACTGAGGTGTATAAGCTCAGTGCTGTGTACGGTTATTAGCTGTACCCATTTGTATGCAATCAAGATCATTGGAAGAAAAACAAGCCTCCCAGTTGGGGGTTACAGCTTGGTCAAAATTCTAGACAAATGACGATTACTAAGTTACCTTCCTGCGAAATATCGGAATTCTCCATGATTTTGCTTTATGATTGTTGCTCATATCAAGCTCTCATAATTGACGGAATTAGACCACCATATACATCACAAATACTGCAAAAGTGTCAACAAATCCGATGGACTTGGTTGTCATACGTGCTTGTTGTAGTGCACTTATCACTTCGGAATGGATTCTACAATCGCCGCAACCTACGATGATGGTGGAAAACAAAATGAATGTTGAATACAGTTGCCAGTACTCTGCCTGTGCTTCATTTGTATACATTATATCCAACAAGCCTATCCTGCTTTGATTTACGTAAACTGTGTACGTTTCCAAGTTTGATACCTGGCCTTTTTAGTTACCGATCCGGCTTGTCAAAGTGACCGTATTGATTGAAACTGGAGTAGGCCTACATTGAAAACGGGAAACATTTCCTGATAAATCCGCGTGATGTGAAGAGGAAGGTCAATCCGGAACCCATGAATGTATACGATGCCTCATTTAAAATAATAATACATTGTCATCATTATTTAGGTCATATGGTGGCCTCGCGGTGGTTGAGGGTGTTTCTGCTGTGATAGTCTTGCCATTGCATTGCTTGGCAGTAAAGAACCTTGATATTTGCCCAAATATCTTAGAGACTTCAAAGCGATGTTCACATGCAGATGTTAATGCATTGTGCAACTCCTGCTCGCAGTGATAACTTCACGCCGAGTAAGCGATATGTCTAGTTAACAAATATTACGTGTCGTCACTAGAACAGTGAAAATTTGGTGATAACATTTGCTTCCAGACGAATTAATGTCTCTTACCATTGATAAAGAAAGAAGCAGATGTGTGTCCAGGCCTATGTGTCACGTACAGCACATCTGAGGCCGTGTCGTGTCCGACAGCCCATGGAGCTATCGCTTCATGTTCACTCTATGTGTTGTGCACAATGATGTATTCAGCCGCTGTAGTCGACTGTTTGCACTTTACCCGCCACACTATTAGTTTAGGAGCTCTGTGGTTTGAAGTACCCAGACGAATCCACGCGAAAATGATTTTGGATTTCAAACTGAACTTTGATCAATTGGATTTTTTGATAACTGGCAAAACGAGAGGCAGAATCAACAATATTATTTTGTCTTAAAGCTTAAGATTTAAAACTAAAGGTCAGATGACGGCATGTTGTTCATTATGATTTTGTCAACTGCACAAACAAATTTACTTACACGATTAATTTGGACGCTTGTTTAAACTTCAAAAACTAAACTGATTCCAACCATGAAGGAATAAAAAACATTGATTTTATGGTTGACCAAGGTGTGACAATGCTAATCATTTTCACAACAAAGTTGATGTGTTTTTCTACCTAATGGTTGAAATCATATGCAACTATTAGTGCTTGAAGTGCAGGCAAGCGTCGAAATTAATTATGTAGTCAAATTTGTTTGTCCACCGAACTATTATGTAACGTGTTTGCCTCCCACGTGCGTTAACACGATGTGCCAACCAATTACTATGCATCTTTGTAATGATGATGCAGCGCAAACAAACCGGGGAAGATCATGCTACGGTGGGCAGAGGGGTGATTGCACACAGCCACAGTAGCAAGATCGTACCGCGCACCAACGACAAGGACGAGGTTCAATGTTTTGATGGTAAGCATGAGAAGAGGGTGTCATCTCGTGACGTCATCGCGTGGACGTCATCGTACTTTACGGCTGCACCCAAAGTCTTGGCTACGACTAGACGTAACATGTATTTCTACAGTAAATACTGGCTAGCCACTTCCTGTATGATGATTGATCTGCGGTCTGCAGCAAGTTGCACCTTGTCATGTAGCTATGCACGACGTACAGACTGGACTTGGCCTACAACTTGTGCAACTAAATAAAAAAAGTTTGGGAAATCATGGAAAATCAAGGTAAGTTTAGTGTGATTATGTTAAAGCAAATGAGGGTAGGTGTGTCATTAGAAATACATCATAGAAATTGAGAATGTCCATAGTCGACCAACTACATGACTATCATGACTATGACTCATGATAGTCATGTAGTTGCTCGACTATGGACATTCTCAATTTCTATGATTTATTTCTAAGTATGAGTGACTTACCTGTAGGCTCTAGTACGGGGGGGGGTCTTTACCTGTAGGCACTAGAAGCAAAAAACATGACATATTAGGGTACATGTATGTACACGCATTGCATACATGTACATCAACAATACATTTAGTATGTATGAATATTTACCGGTACATCAGAACTCATTATTTCCCAACAAAGAAAGTATACAGTACAGCTACATCATTAGTACATGTACATGGATTCACTAGACAATTTATATCCCTCATTGTCACTCCTCTGTTTGAGGTGTTAGTGGCTCTGTTGAAGATGTTAGTGGCTGATGCAGCGCACTGACTGTACCATGATAATTGGAACTGTAGTAGTACTGTAAAAAGTACTTCAGAATATTCTTTATTTTACCTGTTTTTGTAGGCAGTACCCATGCAGCACCTTTGCTTGAGAAACACGAACTATGCAATCAAGCATCTGGGTCTGAAGCTGGTCACATGACACAACCACAGCAAATTATGTATCCTCCTCCCAGCCAAGCTCCACCCCCATATACGGTAATAACACAAGTTTCCTTTATTTCATCAACTGTATTCCATGGATAATTTTTTATCCTTTTTCTGAAATCTTTTTCTTGACTTATGTCCCTGAACAAAGATACTGGCAAATGGGAAAGTTGCCAATTGATGCAGGACTGGATAGCTCTTTTGGCAAAGCACTGGTACGGTGTTCTGGAGGGAGCAGGTTCAAATTTCTCAAGTTTGTCTTTACATTTTAAATTAATCTTTATATTATTGATCTTTTTCTGTTGATTTCTACCCCTACATCTAATTGCCAGACGGTTCCACCTGTCCAGTACATCATACAGACGCCTCAACCATTGACCAATCCCCCTGATGACTACTTAATCCAGGCCATACTTGTCACTGTGTTTTGCTTCTGGCCCACTGGCATTATTGCTATCATCAAATCTTTGGATGTGAGTAGAATAAGCAGTAGATTTGTTGGTCGTTAATCTATTAGTTGTCAGACAGAGCCTCCTACCCTCTTGTATGTGGGCCAGTTTTTACAGAAGGGTCAACATTTGGCCTCTAAAGACGCACCACCGTGTCTTATCTGTGACATAGCATTTCCAGGTTTTGGGATGCACAAACTAAACAATAAACACACAAAGTTCACCTGTATGAACCGTATCATGACCGACAAACATGTTGGACAAGCTTTTGGCCAAGTTCCAAGTCCTTCTAGTGGCTCAAATATGCATTGGCAAGTTTCTGGGCACCATTCAACATTTGTGTCAATGTTGTACATGTATGCGTGCTTTATGGTTGTTTTAGGGCATTAACTGTAACTGTTATATTGCTCTTAGAGTTATGTGAAGTAGCCAGTGCTGCTCCTACTAGATACAAAGACACATAATCCATACAGCTCATAGAAGTTTGGCAGAGCCAGTCTAAATCATACATGTACACAGTGGCCTAGTGGCTTTGACTTTATGTCATTTGAAACTTGAAACTTTTGGGAAGAAGCTTTTTCTGGGACCAGATGCTGACCCTATGGGATCATATGCCTCCATGAATAACTGAAGTTTACTTTAATTTGTTATTCTACAGTGTTTATTTGGCTTTGCAATGTAAATTTGTACTTTATGTAAAATCTTATTTATGAAAAATGCACCATTTCAATCTCATGATGTTTCCTGACAGCGTGTTTGTGACATTCAAATGCATCTTTTGATCATCATCTGATTGAACATGAAACACCCACAGCACACATGCGCCGGCAGTCCGAGGGTGCATCTTACAACTGATTGCACCAGGAATCCCAGGGTACATCTTACAATTGATTGCACTGGGAATCCCAGGGTGCATCTTACGAATGATTGCACTGGGAATCCCAGGGTGCATCTTACAATTGATTGCACTGGAAATCCTAGCGTGCATCTTACAGTTGATTGCACCGGGAATCCCAGGGTACATCTTACAATTGATTGCACTGGGAATCCCAGGGTGCATCTTACGAATGATTACACCGAGAATCCCAGAAATCGCGGGAATCTCAGTATAAATTGCACCACAACATGTTTGTTAGCATTTCTACTTGTACATATAACTATTCCCTTTACCATGTTGTTGCATTACGCATTATCATGGACATGAACACTTATTGGAAAGCTTAATGTAATTTTCTGGTCATTTTCATTTGCTCAACATCAAAAGTACCTGTCAGAGAGAAGTGAAACTAATACATGTACTGGAATTGCCAGAATTTAGATCATTACAAATACTTTCTCCAAGATATTCTGGTCCAGTTACTATTAAATTGAATCAACAGAGTTAATGTTGAACTGATGAACTTCTCTTTTTTAGTCTCGTAGAGCTGCACAGATGGGTGATGTTCAAGGAGCCCAGCTGTCATCCAAAGCCGCTCGAAAGTTGTCAATCATCAGCCTGATCGTTGGCATTGCTGTTCTGGTCATTATTGCTATCATCATTGCTATTGAGATGGTTGTAATTTTTACTGTTCATTAACGCCCTGGATGCCACGTAATTCAATGATCAGTTGCTGAAGGATTACAGTCAGTTTGAGAACCTGAGTTTCCAAGTTTGTTGCTCGATTGAAGGTCTTTTGCAATGTCATGTTCATTAACTTTACAGGGGTTTTAAGGCCATACAAAGTAAGAGATTTGAAATTTTGATATTTTGGCAATAAGTGGTGTTCAGAGAAGCAGCATGTTGCAGGAATATCTGAAATCAGAGAATAGTTTGGTTGTTGTGATACAGGTGCCAATATATTTATGACACTTCTTTCTGTGATCTTTGGCAGCTATTCTTAGCAGAAAGAGACTACACCTGTAGATAGCATGCAGTAAACACCTTTGACCTTAAACTAAATGCAATATGATGCAATGTGACTCAATGTCACTATGCATTCATTGAGTCAACATTTAAATGTCATGCATGCACAAAATCCTGTCAGTCATTCATTGCTAATACATGTACATGTAACTCAATATTATGCAGACTCCATAAAGACTAATGAAAGCCATGTTTGATTCAATATTTCGTTCTTTATTCAGAACATCTTCAGGAATGAATGAATGATGTTTCCTGAAGATGTTCTGAATAAAGAACGAAATATTGAATCAAACATGGCTTTCATTAGTCTTTATCGTTCTTTATTCAGAACATCTTCAGGAATCAATGAATGATGTTTCCTGAAGATGTTCTGAATAAAGAACGAAATATTGAATCAAACATGGCTTTCATCAGTCTTTATGGAGTCTGCATAATATTGAGTTATCTGATTATTATCAGTGGATCACCTACTGGTTTTTGTACATGTAAACCTTTTCACTAAATTCATAATTATGCATGCATGCACGCAAATGCCCTTGGTAGCAAGCAGTGTGAGCGGTCTGTTGAAAATGTACAGGGGTGTGATTTGATCAAGGCTGAAAACCTGAGAGACAATTATGAAAGTTGCACTCCTAGACGTTTTCAATGGCCTGCTCCCACTGCTTGCTACCAAAACCATTTGTGCGCATGCATGCATAATTATGAATTTAGTATTGAAAAGGTTTATATAGGTTGATGTTTGTCCAGTATACAGCATATGTATTAATATCACAGCAATGAGCTTTGCCTCTTGAATAATTTCTGTTATACTGGTGGCCTCTCATTTTAGTTGTGTTGAACTGATGTTATTAAGCATGCTGCCTAGAGTAAACTGAGTAGGAACAAAATGTCCCCACCGTTGGAGTTTTGGAGGACTAGTGAAGAAAAAAATCTAGAATCACAGACCCAAGTATCAGTAGTCTAGCTAAAGTCTATTTTACTATTTTACCGCATACTGTATTTTAAAAAAGAAACAACTTTCTGTAATTCGTTGTAGTTGATGTGAAAAGTGTAACTTTTAAAGTACGTGTATTCTGTATAACGTTTCTCCGTAAGAATACATGTAGATTGACACCATGCATGTCGTGAAGTTCCAGATGTAATTAAGAGAAGTGTTTAGTTGCAGCACAATGTCACCAGAAACAACCAACATGCACCAGCCTTGTGCTACATGTATATTTTTCTGTAAGATAGAAATGATTGTGTTCACATGCAAAGTGAAGTGATTCGTCGGTTAGGTTAGTATAGAATACGCACACTTTGAAACTTTCAATACAAAATAGAATTTATTTGGAGTTTACAAGTGTTTTTGTTTACTTATTAATGAGCTGTATGTCTCAACGCACATGTAAGAATAAAACAATTCAGTGAATTTGTTTGTCGTACCTTTGTTTTCTTTTGCGAATTTTGTCAATTTTTATTATTTTTAAGGGCCAAAGATTTGTGTTATTCAATGATAATTGCCTTTCTTGGTTATGCAATTTAAATAAGTGGACCTTGGGTAGCAAGACAAAAAAAGGTAGATTTGCTGTTGTTAGAGGCTAAACCCCTGGAGTGATCAGGCATCTGCCGGAAATCGAGCTAAAACCTCCACCATGATGACAGCACAGGTGTGTTCTACAGTCATCTCAGGAAAGCAAATCATTTTTATACGAACTGAATTCAGAGCCTGAAGACGGATTCGCGTGAAATAGATTTTGAAGAATGAACCGAGTCACGCTCGCACACTTCATAAACTATATTTCCTTTTTCTCTGTCAATGTTTTGAAAGCAACAAATAGACATAATTTTGCGAGAAATGATGTCAACTCATGACCCCCTCCGCCGATTATCCACGGTGCATCTGAGAGTTTTTTGTTGCTACACAACTAGACGAGCGAAGCAGTGACTGGCAGAGCGACTGAGGGCGCTGTATTTATCTGACAACAAGTACAAATCAAGATGGCAGCTCCTACGGCTTTGGCAGTCTTAGAGTGTATTAATAGGTTTTTGAATACAAGAAGGTATCAAGAGGCTCTAGCACTCATTAAAGGCCTGAGAAATGGAGCAGTGTAAGTACCCACTGTTGTTAGCTGGTCCAGTCGCCCTTAACAAGCTACGAGCTAGGAGTTTCGATTGCTTGGGCTAAGTCGGCGTGTTTGGTGTATCACTACATGCTGCATACTAGACAGGTGCTGCCTGCCATGGAGACTACATGTAGGCATCATCATGATGGAGCATATGCATGGATGCATGTGTGATGCTATCCTGGCCTGGCTCGAAAATCTCACCATGTCAACTCAGAGATCGTATTCCACTCATATTTAGTTTTATCATGTTTAAAAAAGGCTCTGACATGTCTGATTGAGTTACAGAGAATGAGTGACACATTCATGACATTCCATGCCGTCAAAGGAAAGTCATGTAGGGAATGTTTTGCCTGACCTATTGTAGGCCTATGCTGTTAAACCTTTCATATTAGTTACCAACATGCAAACTACAAAATCATCCCAGATTGATGACATTTGGTGCCTTCTTTTTGGAATGAGGGAACAGTATAGATGCCAATATACAATGTACTTTTGATTAATTTACAAAACTCCTATTATAGACAGGAAATGATTTAATTTTACATTGTTTCATCAGTTTACTTCCGTAAAAATCCTTCATTAATTGCATTTTTTTCTTATGTGTTTTCATCTATTTTTAGGTATGGTGCTAAAGTCAGAGCTCCACATGCATTGGTGATGACATTTCTTTTTGGAACAGGAAGGTAATATTTTAACATTGTAAATCTCAACCAACTTCACTTTTCAGGGTCGGCTGTCTACCAGGTTATTTGACATGTACAGCATTCACGGACTCGAGAGCACTGATAATTAAATGCTACATGTAACCCTAATAAAGGAGTCGAACAATTTCTAATGACAATGTTTTTGTCATCATTTTCATCTTTAGTAAGAAGTAGACCATTGTACATTGAATCAAAAAAGATTCATTTAATAATTAAAAATGTTTAAAAGATCAAGTATGGGAGAGCAGTCAGAATATTACATCTAGGTTAATATGAAAACCTCTGATATTTTATTTCTTCACTAAGAGAGCTCTGCTGTACAAGTAGGCAGATACTGGTATTTAGAGAAAAATGCACGGTGTCTTTTTTAGGTAACCAAACATCATTGATCTTATCATTAAAGCTTTCGTCAACAAATTATGTCTATCCTGAGAGCAACCTACACACACTCCAAGAACCTTGGAATTTATGTTTTTCTGTACAAGTCAATGTTGGCCATTATGCGATGGTCAGAGGGCAAAGTGCATCACCTCCATCCACTAATAGCTGGATTCATCGGTGGTTATCTCATCTTTGGAACCAATAATAAAGTCAACAGTCAGGTATGTGGTTATTCAAATCAGCAATACCTTCCTGATTAAATTCCCCACCCTTTCCTAGTCTGTAGGGAAAGCATTTGCAATAGAACGGAGCTCAAAAAGTAAAATCTCAGACATTACCAGTTGATAGTTGTAGAAAATGACTCTGGACAAAGGTAAAACAGATGCTAAAAGTAGTATTGTATTTTTTATTTTTCTAACTTACAGATAAACATGTACGTTCTCTCTCGGATCCTGTTTGGCTTTGGTCGTCTTGCTGTGAAGAAGGGTGTCATATCTGAACCCAAACGCGACCCTTTTCCGATAGCTGCTGCTTTCATCTGGGCAATAGTCATGTGGCAGTTTGAGAATCATCAAAAGGTTCTGCAGCCATCACTACAAAACTCCATGACATATTTGTATCATGATTCTAACATATGGCACAGTTTGAAGGACTTTATCTGGCACAATAAGTTGTGATTGCCATGGTTATTCAACAGCTGAAACTGTCAATCTCAAATATGAAATTCTTGCAACCTGTTCTCAGGATGCAACATTTGTTGGAATCAGGAATTTCTTATCAGATCAGTATTTTGGATCACTTTATGTATTCTACAAACATGTTGTTCTGGAGACACAGTCGAAGCCTATTATATACCGTCACATTTGGGGTCATTTTCTCAAATTGAAGCATTCTAATGTAATATTGAAAAAGCTCAAGGTTTGCAACTTTACCAGTGAAATTCAGTTGGTTGTCAAAACACTCCAATGACATGAAGAAAATGAAAATTCAAAGAGGGGCTATTTATTATTTACTTTGGAGGAAGTTATTCCACTTTACTCTGCTTACTCTGTGTATAGAAGCAGAATAGGCAATGAATGAAATCATGATTCAAAGTCACATGTAGAATGGAGACAGTTAAAGCATTGATTCTCAACCAACTCATTTTACTACATGTAGGTAAGAAAAAAGGCTGGTAATGATCGATATTACACAGCATTCAGTAATGCATCCAGATCTCATTCAGTAAAAGGACGACGTGTTTGAGAGATGTTAGGATTTCCAGCTATACACCTTTGACATAAGAATAACTAACTTGCACAGGGTGTCCGTTTGAGCTACTCAAAAACAGACATATTTATCTTGCTATGTCATTTCTATTTGTGTGTTTCTCATGGGACTGATTTATAGTAGATAAACCATACTTTTATCGTTCAGTAAATTTTTCGGAAATAAATTTTAGTATTTTTGGGTTTACATTTTTGTCTATGTCATGTTTGAATTTAATGATTCACGAATGGAGCGCCATGATGTTTCACATTATTTTTTACGTAAAGGTCTAATTTATTTTACATGGAAATGATGTACAGTTTGTAAAAGAAATTAAAATAAAAACGGAAGAGAACATGTATAAAAAATATTGTTGGTAATGACATGATGTTCCTTACGTCCACTGACGGAAACGGATCTGGACTACAGTTATAAAATGATGCAGCTCAGGTCAGAGGTCACAAGCTTCATAATATCGTGATGGGAAGCCTAGTGATGTCTTCATATTTTGTTGTCTGTATCGCAACATGTATGTACAACATGAGGGGGGTGAATGCAGTTGAACTCAATGGATAGACATGGTTGAGAAAATGAAGATTATGACGTGGTTTTTCGTTCTGCTATTAAAGTTGCTACCTTGTCAACGTGAACGTCATGCAAATCATTCGTAATCAATACAGATCATGCTCCATGTAAATCCAGATATGGAGGGTGGGTTGGATGGATTCACGAAGAGTTTTGCAGTCGATTCATTTATAGAATTATCCGAAGGTGATCAGATCCGAGGTGTATAAGGTAATTTTGAAGCCAAATACGTGTAAATGTTTTCCTACCGGCTTACTACACATGTACCATAAGGGTGAAGTTACGCAACCACCCACAAATGCAGATACATGTAGATGGTTTTGTCCGTGTACAAATTTATAGTTGATATAAGCCATTATGCAGACATCAACAAATGCAAGAAAACGGAAACAAAACACTTTCCCTGGCTACCCAAAACTTTGAATATGCTTATTATGTTGTGTTAATGTAAGACTAGCCAATAGGCCTACTTGTTATAGAACTACTCAGAAACTCAGGTGGAAGTACTCTGTCAGCGTCGCGCATTAAGCGTCCCGATTTTGTCAAACTCCAAATCTAAATCGTATATGGCTATAATTAAGCTGTTACTGTATGCGTTTATCTTGCAATACAATGAATTTATGTTTTATTTCTTGTAATCTGATTTACCAATTCAACGTTTTGCAGCCTAAGGGCAGAATGTACATGTACATTGATTACACTTAATACGTGATTGAATTATACAATCGATTAAAAAGGTAAATACTTGACGCTGAAAGATGTCAGAAAAGAAAAAAAAATCATTTTACACCAAAACAACGCAAAAACGTACAATCAGCCCTCTTTAAATAAGTCTATTTATAGATGAGCTAGAATGTTATCGTCGAGGTATAAACGATCGCCTTTTTCCCCAGCATTTTTGGTTACCAATTAAACTATATTAATCCTATTTGAAAAATACACTTCGGAGTTTGACTGTATGTGAAATCAAAATTCCACGAAACGCTTGCAGAACGGTAATGGATCCATTAAAGTCCATCAACGCTCTCCTGTTGTAAAAACGTAGTGGCCTGGAATGCAGTAATATTTTGCACGATTCACTGTCAGCTCGAAGGAATTGTAAAAAACAAAATGTTTATAAATTTATATGAAACTTGGTTGATATATTATTAGTGGTCGGGTTAGAATATTAATTATTGGCGGGTTGAATAATAATTATTCCAGTCCTGTGCTGTACTCGTTATTGCCTCGGTAATATGTCCTTAATTGTTTTTGTTTGTTCATCCATGGAATATGTTGTTTGCATTATGATTATGGAATTATGAAATGCAATGGATCTACAGGAAAGAAGAACTTATAAACATTCTTATTTCCAAGAATAATTATTTATTTTGTCTCGGAATATTTCTTTATTACTGAATGATAAAACTGTGCACCTATTAATTGACCTAAGCTTCCCACATGCATGCATTTCTTACAAAAACCGCAAAATATATAACTACATGTATGAGTTGATTGACACAATTGATTTACCCACTAAACGAAATGACCACCAACCCACCTGTTGACCCCAGATGACCAAACCGTGCGCCTTAGCTAAGTGATGGTGCATAATTATGGTGGCCCGTCCAATAATAGAGCTGTGCAATCGAAATGTCTTCGCCTGCGGACCGTCGTTGTTGTTTTGATGGCGCTTTCAGCAACTCGGGCTATTTCCGCCAATAACTGTACGTTTATCCATACACTTTATTTGTCAGCATCACGTTACAGAGTTAGGAATAAGGGCCAGTTTTAGAGGCAGGAGGAAACCGGAGTACCCGGAGAAAACCTGCGAGAGCAAATATGGACTGGAAACCAAATGCACTATAAGCCTGGGCCAAGCCGGGACTCGAATCCGGGCGTCATTGGTGCACTAACCCACTCCCCTCTGCGGACCGCATCTTGTGCTGGGGAATATATACTCTGTGTGTACAATAGCACAATTGTTCTACTAAGGACATTCCGTAATGCTTGGACTTGCTTGAATGAAGAATTACAATACATCCAATATCTGCCCCTCCTCATGCACATGCACAGCGGGCCATGATGTCTCCAGTGATTGTCGTTTTTCTTTGTGTATCTTTAAGGAAAGATTCGCTGTTGAGTGTGCATATCTTCGGGTCCATGAAACAGTCCGTTGCGGTGTATGAAATAAACTTGGAAGATAACCAATGAGTGATGTAGATACATGTATCAATCGGACTGTATGTTGCAGAAAGGACGTTTCTGATGAGTTAGATTTGAAACTGATGGGATCATTGGAAGCAAGGTGACTGTAGTTCTGCCATCATTGTCATGTACATGTATCAGCAAACACTGGTGAGTTAAACTTAATGTCGAGGCTAATTCTGCCATTTCATGATTGCACCGTGGAGGAAGAAACCCCATGATTGTACATGTACCTAGTTTTGAAGGGGCCAGGGTGCACTATTGTGTACTAGCGTATCGTATGTGTAGGCTTAAAATTTAAATGGATTTTGGTGGGTTTACGATGCTGCAATTTAAGAATGAAGCATGTTTAATCAATGCTCATGCGAGTGCCACCTCCATGACAGAAGTCAATAGCGGACAAAAGCCTTAACCGGACAATGCCCACTTTCTAACAGTCATGTACGTTGTACTTGTGGCAAAACTGAAGGGTGTGTACATTCTCATTTGATTGAAATAGGAAATAAGAAAAGGAATACCTACATGTATATTGCGCTATTGCAGTATTGTGAAATACCAGCCACAAGGATCCAACAATCGGATTGTTCTTTCAAGACTTTATGTGTATCATAAAATGAGTTATACATGTACTTTAATGTTTATTACCACAAGCAAGATGAACTGTTTGTTTTGTGATTCTACCTCCATGGTTTTGATCATCGTTTTGTGATCATAAACACTGGAAATGGACTGTTTGGGAGAAAAATAATTACATGTATGTCGAGTATCTTCAGTTATTAATTCAACTTTGTGCAAAATTCGGTTAAATTACGGCATATGGCTCTTATGCTCTCGAAGTAAACATGTTTTGGATAATTGGATTTCCAATAATTTGTAGTTTTTAAACTTCGTGCGATCGGCGAACTGGCGGGTTAACAATGCGCAAAATGCTTCTCGCGAAAATGATGCATCGTTCATTTAAACATTATAGGCCTATGCGTTGTCAGATTCACTCTGACTTTTGAGAAGTATTTCCTACCAACATTTATACGCAATCTTGAAACTGCTTGTTCCTTTACACTTTGAACTTGTCTGAGTGAATACCTTACTGTTACCTTAGATTGTTCGTCGACGATGAAATTAATCAGACCGAAATGCTGATTTGGGACCATATTTCAGATTGAAAAAAAAAAGAGTTATCTGTTCGTGTCAAACCCACGGGAGGGCTTGTCATCTTATGTGAGGGCGTCCGTTATATTTCCGACTGACCCTTATTGTAGCTTCGATCGAGGGAGAAACCACCTCGTGCTGCTTACCTTGTCTGAAAATTGCTACTATAAGAAACAAGAAAAATCTTCAGAATGTCTGCGGACAGGTAAATGGTTTTTAAACCCTGTTTTTCTCCTGCCGACCCTTCTTTAAGGTCAAAAAATGAGAACCGCATTATTAACTACGGACGCCCTAAGCTGTACCGCAGGGGAGCAATTTGTCATACAGCACGTGTATTGGAAGTGGCACAACTTGCAATTCAATCATGGTTTAGCATAGTCATACAAAGGCAGGTGCTTCATTTAGGATAACACCTTGAAGGTAAAAACAGGTTGCTATTGGTTGCTAAGTTTTTTTCAGCTTGGTCATCATTCACAATTTTACAATGCAAAAATCTGGTCATTATTAGTTCCGCATATCATAATCATAGAAAGAACACAAGAGAAATAAAAATCTCTATCAATTAGTATTGGGACGGAACATTCGCGGAGGATAGAAACGGGAGGGAATATACCTTTTTTTTTCTATCATGACAGATCCTTGGTTCTGTTAAGAAATATAAAAGTTCTGAGAGGGTAGGGTCGGGTCATTCTTGATGCTGTTATAACCGGGCACAACATTTGTACACGTATCTTGTGTAATTTCTCTCATCACGCCAAACATAAACATGGATGGGTAATCCTTTTAATACAACCTGTAACGCGTGGTTGGATGTCACTCGCATTGCTGTTGCGCAGAATATACATGTACATGCACACGTTTACGTTTTTCGCTTTAACCACCCTGCCCAGAGCTAGCAAGGCAGTGAATGGCTGTAAGACCATAGAGCAAGGGACCAATCGTCAGTTATTAGGCCTCATAGATTTCATTTGGGGTTGAACGTTTCTCTCTCCTCGCACATTTCTGTACTATGACTGTTTTGTAGGATGCAAGCAAAAAGATATTTTATCGTTTGTTTAATTATTGCAGACAGCCGTCAATCTTGCTGCTTCCCCACCGACGATTGTGCACGCAGCAGCAGGTGACTTGCAACACGATAAGTGTTCAACATGTCTGCACGAAGAATTGTCAGAGCAACAAAGAAACGAATTATTCTGGCCTTTTTGATTTTGATAGCAGTCCTTTATACTGGCTTTGTTGTGTTTGGACAGGGATTCGTCGTCAGTAAAACAGGTAGGGCTTAATTAATTAGTGAGAGATGTACTAGTTACATGTATGTGACCTTGTAGATGAAAATTACATGTCGAAACACTTGGAGCTGCCTGGCGAGCACATGTAGGCTACAATGTACACTTTGATTGGCCGTTTGAATTAAGGGAGCGTGTTGCATGAAAAACTACGGAGAACTACTCACTAGAATTTAGTCCTCTCATGATCAGACATTTTTTTCCACTGAACAAAAAGCCCCTTTCCTTAGATGTGATGTGAACGTGGTTTGCATACTTTTTGTACGCTTTGCTCAGCTCTAAAAAGATGTACCAGGGTACATGTATGTACTTGTGTCTAATTTAAGCGATAAACATGTGCAAATAGCTTTATACCACTCGATCGCGATCCATGGAATTTTATGGATAAAAAAATTAGATTTCTTTTAAACCACCGCGTTGAGTTGGAGTAATTGAATAAATGATAATAAATGCAGGACCCAAGATCTGTTGTTTTTTTTTGGGATAACGACCTGAGGGGCCAATGCAGTCCTTGTAAATGCAACTTTGTATCCTGTGCTTGTATCCTAATTATTTCAATCTTTTTTTCAATTTTGTACATTTTAAACTTGATGCAAATATAAAAATTGCGCATTATTGAAGGCTTATGTACACTGTTATTTCACCAAATGTGAAGTATTCGAACGGATGACCCCTACAATACGTAACAGGCTTAACAATGACAAACGACTTCTGTAGCAGTCGTTTGAATAGTCTGTGGCTTGGATTAAGATTAAATAACTTGTGCTGGACTTGTGATGATCTCGACCACAACACCTAGGCTGACATTAAAATGCACATTTTTGTTCACAAGTTCAAGCAGACTTCCCTATTACTATAATGATAAGTCTGCATTATGTACAGTACATGTACTGTACATGTAATGCCATAACAACCACTTAGGGCCTATTGTGCAAGCCTCAGCCGGTGGTCATACCAAAGAGCTACAAACCCAGCACTTTGGTCAGACCAAAACCTTGTACTTTTTACTCATTAGAGAATACCGTGTGCAACTCGGCACGAAATTTGCCCTTTCCGTGATGACTTGGCCTGCAGTCTTGTATATTATTTAGTGCCGTGGACTCCTGTTGCCTTCACGTACATGATGTACGCTCCACCTTCACTCCATGCTACTCTGACCTCTCACGAACTACAGACCTGCTGTGATGGCCCACTGAAGTCCATTACTGCAAACAAACATATACGAACAGAAATGGCTTTCACAAGAATTTGATTTTTTTTAAAATTTTCTCAGAAGTGCACGTGAATGTTACCACAATAATAAATTTCAAGTTTCATCTTACAGAAACAAACTGTGTCCGGATACTTACGAATTAGGCATCATTTGAATGATTCTTCGTCTTCTGAGCACATTGGTCATTAAACTTAACTGGTCTAACCGTGGTTTGGGGGTTTGGGGACTTGCATGTACAAATAGAAATTAAAGGCCCTTAAAGTAGAGAACCGAATTTTCCACTTCTTTTCGGAAAAGGAATTTGTAATTTTTTTTGCTGTAAAATATATTGAAACATAAACGTTGGTCGATTGGATTGAAGTGAGCATAAGTTTAGCCCGAACCCCGGCCTTGCATTCTGAGTCTCAAACCACTTTTGCGCATTTCCTTCTAGAGATCAACTATAATAGTCATCAATTTAGTTTGAACAAACGTTGGAACTCCACGTCGTTTATCAAATGCAGGCTTAATCGTTTTCATGTGAACTTTGTCTTTCAAGCAAGTTCTTCAAAGTGTTTGCTTTGAATGTTGTTGTATTGCCAGCAGAGAACGAACATCAGAAAGTCAAATTAAAGATCATATAAAATTGGTTTAATCAAGAATGTTGTCTTTTGGCATGTCATACAAGAAATGTGGTGTTTTGTGAAGCTACATGTATATCCTGGTTTGTGGGGATTGCTTCACAAATACTAATTTTTAGTCGTAAGTGGTATCCCTTTTTAAATAATTTTTTAACAGACCTAAACCACCATATTTTCACATTTTCTAGAAAATTCCGCAGACTCACTTAATGTCTGTCTAAGACTAGAAATAAAAAGGGAAAATTCAAAGTGCAAATAAGAGTTTCGAAATAACATTCTTTATCAAAACTATTAAGACCATTTCAACTTAACACTGACTTTCTGATTTTGTTATTGCCTAAAACTAATAAATTGGGACTTTTTCCGCACATTGCTTTGGGATAAGGCTTAATATACTAAAGACCAGTGAGAAATGTATATATGACTGCTTTGTGTGCTTATCATTATTGTTTTGGATGTTAATTTATTATTTTAGAAAACAGAAACCACTGAACTTTCTGCATGCATCAGTATAATGAAAGAGAGTTCGGCATGCCAGTTTGATGACAGTCCTTTGAAAATATTATTTCTCCTAAGCCTATTTTTGTGTTTGAGTGTACTGTTTTCATAAACCAACAGTGGAAACATATTATGGAAAAAATTGTTTTAAGTATGCTTGATTCCAGGAAATAGTTGATTGTTATCACTTGCACTTATAAATAGCAACATTCATTGACTATAGAACACTGTTCATGTGTTGAGTTACTTAGTGTCTGAGAAACTGATTTGGTGTAATTTTGAAAAAGCAAAAACACCAGGTATACCCTCAATTATTCTACCTACAATCTTTGTACTTTTAAAAGCAGATTAATCACTTTTACCGAGTAATAAGGTAGATTTACGTACCCTTTTTCAAAGTAAAATTTTACCAAACTTTTAAGAAAAAACTTACCCAACGTCTGTTTTGTAAAAATTTAGCTAATTATCAGAAGGTTCGAATGGCACATTGCAGCGGTGTAAAATTCTACACAGCCTGTGTATTTTTTTCTGTGTGTGTAATAATATACCACATGCATACACAGGAATGTTATTACGGGAACAGCCGGTGCGTGACTTTGTTCATAATTAAGTCTCTGCTGATATCTGATGTATTTTCCAGCTGCATGATGGTAAGGTATGGGTTTGGCGAAAAATACATAATTGTACAGATCAACAGGTCAGCACTAAAGAATTCCTAAATTGTATATTGCCGAGATATTCAAGTCCAATTGGAAAAAGAAACTAGGGATTGCTTCAGTTTGACAGTGTTGGTTAGTAATGAAAATAGTAATTGCCCCTGGAGTCACCATTGTTGCCTTTAGTGGGAAGTATGGGTCGGAGCTCAGTGTAGGGGATAGAGCCTTGTGCCATGCATACGGATTGTGTATGATGGCCTATAATAGGGCCATTTTGTTCAGGCCATTTTGTTTCCAAAATGGTTGTTTACGAGGGTTGCATCGCGCACAGCTCCAGCTGGAGGCACATCAGAAGAACTAAGATAATTTGATGCTTATGGTTTGCCGATGAGGGAGCCAGCTCACCCGATGGCCGTCCCAGCAAGCCCCCCCCCCCGGCGACGGACCTGTTACAGTGATCGATTAGAAAATAATGGCTTTCAATTATACTGATCCGACGTATGACATAAAGCACATCACAGTTGCATGAAAGATGATTACTGAAAGTTGAGCATATAAGCAAAATGGCTTCTACTCTGAAATCTGGAGCAGAAACACTGAGAAAAAAAGAAACGTGCGGGTAAATGCTGCATGTACCTCTACCCAAATAATCTTTCGCTATAGCCCCAAAAATGTCCTGAAGCACTTCTTTTTTCACTTGACACACGTCACGACTCTGGAGTCTTGACCTTTGATCTAGACTGTTATTCCGATTGCTACATCTGTCGGCACGATTTCTACAAGAAATCCAAAGGCCCAATCTGGAATTCTAACAAGCATACAAGGGGTTGGGATTAAGACTGGAATTGACTTGTTCCGTGACTGAGAACACTTTCCAAGTAACCCTGACCCCCTTTGGCTGTCAATAAATCATTTGAAATCCCACAGGCGCTCAACTCGCACCCATTGCCTGTACGATGGGCAACTTGACGTTTGTTTTATTAGGCATTTCAACATTGATAAATTTAAGATATCCTGTTAACGATACGTTGAATTATATACGTTCGACAGGTCGACTGAACTGCGTGTTAAACGTTTGCTCCGATTTCATTTATTTCAATGAGTGTATTCCAATGTATTTATTGTTTTTATTTGTCACGTGCAAGTTTTAAAAAGTTGTAAAGACAAAATGTTCCTCTCTACTCAAGTAGTCTACATGCACTTTTAACATCGCTCAAATGAAATAGCGCCTCAAATGAACCAGTTAGATTTCAAAAACTTCACACACACATACACCTTAATGTAATCTGCAGTCCATAGTTCGACCGCTGAGACCATAGCTACCAAGAGTATTCCTGCGTGTAATACAAACACCACACAAGTGAATATTGCTATTACTTCCCCAGAATACGATGTGCACACTATGATGCCATTGCCTTGGAAAATGAGATATTCATGTCCGTGTACAATGGTGATGGGACCCAGGACAGGTGCATATGACTGGTTGATTATTGTGTGAGCTTGGCCCGAAATCCTGCCTGAGTACGAACCGCCATTTATCCCACGACTGTTGTGGAAATGCCATGATCTGTACAATCTTAACACATCCAAACAAACAATTTGTTGAGCTTAAAAGAGTTTTGCTCTCTACGAAAGAGGAAAAACATCCCCCCCCCCTTATAAGTGGAAAAATATTATATTTGCGTTAAATTGTTTCAGACTGGCCGACACGGCTTTTTTGTGCTGCCTTGGACAAATGTATAATTCTTTTATGATAACCTATTTAAAATTTGGCTCGATCAGCAAGATCATAATGTACCGTAGTTGACAGCTGGTTTTGATGGGAAGCATTCTTCGTGTGGCTGTCTATGCCATTAATTGGCAGATGTTTAAACCTCAACTTCACACAATGAAAGTCAACTCATCTTCATTTAGGAAAGTGTGTAAATTGTCCAAAATATTGTAATCACGGACCTGACATGACCCCCACAAAATAAACACTTTTACTGATGGTTTTATTATCTATTGGCGTTTGGTTCAGGTTTTGAGTCGTGGGAGGGAGTGGGATTTATTTCTAAAAACAGAGGTCCACATTTTTTTCGTCCCTAAAAAAATTTCCCCCGGGAAAGGTAGTACATGTACATGCATGTAGTAACGTTTCGGAAGTTTGGCGCTTTGACCCTAAACCTGCCTTCCGCCCCGCCCCCCGCCCCCGCTACATGTGCCACTGTTTCTTAGTTTCCATGTAATTCCCCGCGGAGCAACACACTTGATTGAGAATGCGGGGCGTGAGGTGAAACACCAGCCGATTTTCTTTACCACACGTGCGGAATGGAACACGGACGTGGCTGCGGAGAGTTTGCATGTGCAACGTACTGAAAGTGATTTACTCGACAAAGTTTGAAAGTTGGCAACACTAACCTCTACTTTGTGGTTTGTGCCCCCCAACAGTCCTCCTCGAGGCAATTTAAAGGGTTCATGCAGTTCATGTACACAGTTTTTATAATATACTGAAAAGGAGATAGATCCCCTTTTGACATCTGTTTTTAGGATCCCAAATTCAAACAACCAGTCTAATTTGACACCTTGCGTTAAAAATTTAATTTTGCTGTGTTGTAAAGTAATTAGTTTGTTCATCTCAGGACCAAAAGCTTTTAGGTATAAATTGTAAAAAAGAATTGCATCTGTTTTATGTGAACTCGTTGTCGTCTCGAATATGTAGGTCAACACCTACATTAAAAACAAACCATCGCATTGTGTTTTACAGACACTCTGTTGAAGAAGGTGTTCTCAAAGGACGCAGTCAGTAGTGGGCACGAGGTTGTGGGACCTCTAGACACAAGACAACCTGTGTTAGGGAGCAACACCTCCAGTGATAACAATGCTTCGCAGAGTTTCAACGCTACACTCAGCGATGATAGGGCAACTATTCAGGTATGCTTGATGGTAGTAGGCCTACTACTGACGTCTACCTGTTTTTTTGGGGGGGGGGTTACGTTCTTTAAAAAGTCGCGTTTAGTCCTTGCCTTGTCACTCGGCTCTAATCCAGGAATCTAATAAACCACTTTTAACTCTGAAACGCATTCAGTATTGTGGGCAATATCACGTACTTTTTTGACCATCAAAAAATAACAAACAGTTCAGAAAGACTTTCACTAACCTAGAATTTAAAGGCCTCGTAGACTATTATCTGTCATGTGTTTATCTATGAAAAGTACACTTTTCATCGAATGTATTTGAAATCATTCAGCATTTGGCACATTCTGCACAAGGCGCATGCTGATTTAAAGCCAACCTACAGGATGTTACGCAATTAGTCTTTTGAGCTAACTAGTTCCATTATAAAGAAAAAACTCACTTTTTTTCTTCTTGTTTCAATAATGCCTACAGGGGATGCCAGAAATGAAACAAGAAGACGAGGCTGAATTTCTTCAGCGAATGGCCAACGTGCAGAATGTACGCCATGACTTGATTCGAAGAAGATGTGCAGACACTTACAATATAACCGAGCAAGTAGACTTCAGAAGGGACAGGGAAAAAATATTGTCTTGGAAGAAGTTTTACGAACACGCCTACGCCAATGACGATTTCAAGTTTATCATATGCAGGGTGTTAAAAGTTGGGTCATTCAGTTGGCGTAAGGTGATCAGATCCTTGTATGATAAAGGATCTCCTGCGTTCAAGAAGAAGCAGAAGATGGGTGATTATCCAATACGAGAATACGACAATGAAACCTTCCTCGTGGAGCTGGAAAATTACACGAAGATTCTATTTGTCCGAGAGCCATTTGCTAGGCTTTTATCCGCATACAGGGACAAGTATGTAGAACTGCGTCACTTCCCGTATTACAAACCCATTGGATCCAAGATCATTCAGGCCTTCCGGCAGGGCGCCACCCGGAGACAAATAAATAGCGGTAAACCGACTTTTGAAGAGTTTGTCAAATGGCTGGTTAGGGACCCAGACAATCGTGAAGGAGATTACCACTGGAGACCGCTGTTCGACTGGTATCACCCTTGTGAGATGCATTATGACTACATAGGGAAATTAGAGACTGCCACCGAAGATGCCAGATACATTTTTAAGATGCTTGGCATTGATAAGTTGGAAACTTATCCTTCCACAGAAACTCATCATAAGTTCAGCTCCACTAAAGATGTGCTTAAGCAATATTACTCCCAGATTTCTCCAGAACTTGTACCAAAAATTGTTTATCGATATAGGGAGGAATTTGTGTTGTTTAATTATTCTGTTCCTCAAACACTGAGCGATATTTGGTCTTAACAATACCAAAGCTGGATTGAGATCGTGCAATGGAGCAGAGCACAGGAGATGAAAAACACAGAAACGTAAAGTCCAAATATTATCGAGGCTTGAGAAAGTTGAGGCGACTGAAAAGAGCTTCGAGTAGCGTGTCCATGGTAAGATGACCCTGGCTATCAACGTTGGCCCCCTTTAACTAGAACTCTATTAAACAGAGTTCACGGAACAGACATTCTTCAAAAGGCATGATAGCAACCAATGTAATTTCAAAACCGCTGAGACCGTTGCTTGGTCCTGTGGGATGATTCAGATGCAGTATAGCATTTTCTTTTCGATAATTTCGTTATTGTCAATGCCATGTAAAGCCGTCCTCGCAACAAAGTAGTTAGTTGCACTGTGAGTACCACTTACGCTTGACAAAAAAGCGCACACGCGCAGACATTTTGTACAAAAACTCCCTTCTTTGTAACATCTTGGATTTATTCAAAGACACAAACCTTTGTCATATGCAGGTGTTTTGAGTTGTTAGACCTTTCGTATATAGTTTTGCTCTTTGTTTCTGGTGACAAGTAGTAAAACAAATGTTGGGTTTTTAGTGCTGCTTGGTTTGGTAACAGAGATGAGTTGTCTTTTAAATACTTTCATGTATATCTATGTTACTTTTTTTCCTACTCTACTTTTATCATTAAATGAGAGATGGTCTTTCAAACAGACTCAGGACTCGCTTCATGTGTAGCTTGTTTCAATCTGTATAGTCTCTCCCTTGAGAAGAGACTATCTGGCCATTACGACACTCGTTGAACAGTCAAGGTCACGACAGTGGTGTCCATCGTATACGTTTCCTTGTTAGATGGAAATGCATTTTGGTTTGCCACTGTACTCAAGCAAAACAGGGTTTTTACATATGGAGTGGCCATACTTTCGTGGGTTTTTTGTCTGTTTTCAATTTAAATCAGTATCCACATCAAGCAGACAGAAATGCAGGAAAGGGGGTCTGTCTTGAAGCACATCTGTCTGACAGGGCTTGAGCTGGTGAAGTCACAAGCCATTTGGGTAAAAGTAAAGTCAGAATAATAACGATTCGGGTCCAACACTAGTCCAAGTCTCACCGACTCGAGTTAACAACTCTGGCTTTTATTAGGCCTAATTGAAATATTTTAGGTCAAACATTAGAGAGTATCCCTAAATTCAGCTTATGAGTTGCTATTCACTTCTTTAGTAAGGTGAGGGCGATGGTAACCTATAAAACCTTTTGAGCATTAATTAATCAAAGTACGCAGCTGCATGAACCACACGTGGCTGTTATTTCAGCCAAACAGGGATAAGAAACCAGCAAGCTGAGCTGCAGAAGACGAAAGTCCCAAATTATTGCAACCGCGAACCGCAAGGTCACAAACGCTGGGGGTGTTGCCTACTAATTTACGCGAGAATTTCTGGCAAGCCATTAGCATTAAAAGTGCGCCCACAGTATCTTTCAAAAAAAGAGATGATTGTTTGGCCCTATAAGGGTAAATTCTTGTCAGGATCAAGTTCATGGGTCTTTGGGCTTCCATATTTGAGCAGAATGGCTGAAAAACACGGTTTGAAATTGTCCTGGGTGCCCGAGAAAGTTAAGGGTTGGCGCTTGAAAATGGCTAAACGCAGACTTTGGAACTTTTCCTTTTGGGTGTGTTTTTTTGGGTGTAACTAATTGAAAATTTCATTGGTTAACCCCCAAATTCAAAAGAAATTGAAAGTTTAAGGATCAAAGCATAATTACATTTTTGTTTGAAAAACCGCAGAGAAGATGGCTTGCATGTTATTGAGCTGTGAAGAATGTTGATTTTACACTGTTTCAATGGGGCTTGAATTAGTGAATACACCCCTATTGCGCCGGAAATCTAGCCGCGTCAAGCTGACGCTAAAGCGTCCTCACTTCATTGGCTTTAGCTTTGATTTTGTAAACGCTGAGGTTTTTGAAACGTCGACTTGGTTCTGATGGATGCTTCAGCCTTCTTTTTACGTTGATGAATTAGTTCCCCTTTAATGCCCTATGGCTTATTACAGGTCTCCTCAGTGGGACAGAAATATCAAAGGGTCTAATATGAGGCAAAAAACCTGAAGTATTAAACTGTGTTCATTTAATAAACTCTTGAAAGAATGAAACTAATGCCACAGCGTAAATGTAGCGTCCTTAGGAAACCGAAATTTGGACAAATGGCTGACGCCGAGTTCAGTCGTGCACTAGTACCCAGCTCATACATGAAGCTTAATAAACAACCTTGACACGCCAGCCAGAGCCAGACTACATCATCCCAGCAATACAACAAGATGGCGATGAGTAGAGGTAAAGTTCTTCGAGCAGAAAATGTCATCTCTGTAGCGTTAGCTAGGCTAGTTTCAGCCCCGCAAAAGGTTAGAGTGTTGAATGGTGTTTAGCTTAATTATCCCAGCTTATTTGATTCTTGATCAGCATAGTTTCTGGTGCAGTTGAAAATAGTCGAGTTGCCCGATTGTGCTGCCTGGGGCACTAGTGAGTGTGGAACGGACTCTTGCTACCGCTCCATTCTTCACAATCCGTATACGCAATTTGCGTGTCGGCGCACCCTCTTATAGTCGTAGGCGCAATTTTGGGGGTACACATATACTTGTGCACTTTATCTGTGTATCCTTTCTCCAAGAGATACTTTTTTCTCAGACTTGCTTTCAAGTTTCCCATGTTCCCCATTTAGTTACTTCATCCTCCATGGTTACATGTACATGTATTGACATGTAGGCATATGTATGTAAAGAGTAATTCCCTCTTGCAACTTATTCCTCAGTTTGATGGAGTTGGTCACGGATCTGTCAAGAGCTCAGATGCAAAACACAGATGTACCGCTCTACAATTTTTAGCTTTTGGAAAAAGCTGCTGTAATGTAAAAAGACGTACATAAATTAGGACTGCCATTTTCATCGTGGTCCAATTTTATCAAAGCACCTTTGTGTTTGACTGTTATAACTGTGTAATTGCAATTGATGGGCCTATTATTTACTCTCTTCTAAATGACAGGTATATTCATTGTGGCTGCCAAGCGCACTCCTTTTGGTGCATTTGGTGGAAAATTGAAGGATTTATCACAGACGGATTTGTGTGAAGTTGCTGCACGTGCTGCACTGACAGCTGGGAACATAAACCCTGAAGTCATTGATAGCACATTTATTGGCAACGTTGCACAGGTTTGTAACTAATGCACATGGTACAATGCTACTCGGCAAGGTTTCTTGCAGCAAACATGTACATGATGAGTTAATCTAAGATGGGGACCTACTGTAGCTGCACGTGTATATTTTGACAGCACCTGCCCTGAAGTTTTCTGGCAATCCCCAGAGACAAGATTTTTTACTTTGAATTCTTTGTAGATGAATTAAAAAAATAAACACTGAAGATCTTTTGTCCTTTAACCACTTGCTGCGGGGGGGGGCCCATTTTTGAGTACGTTGGCTCTATACACGGAGCTGGGAAACCAAAAATGTGAAAAAGGGAACTGGGCCTTGTAACAAAAGATGGTACATGTACTCGGAACAAAAGACCAGGCTGCTGGGCATTACATGTACCGACATTTATTCACTCACAGTAGTGGAGATAATCCAGCCTTGTTTTGAAACAGTATACCACTATTTTGGGCATTTAGAGCGAGGGGATTACCAACGGGGACAAAAGCGCCCCACCACCGCAGTGACGAGCCACACAGCACTGCTGCATGCTAATCTGGCCCCTATTGAAAAGAGGTCAGCAGCACACTGTGCCAGGTTCGTGAACAAAAGACAGTTATATAACACGTTAAATTGAAAGAACTCAACTATATTCTACGATTTCATTCCGACCCCAAAAAATCACCTCGTACCATCCCATTAAAGGTTTCGAAATTATACTGTACGCTCAGGAATACGACTGAAATTGGCAACGCCACGAATACAGTCTATTGCAATTAGCTTTGAAGCTAGAGAAGCAATCTTGCAATTCATACATTATTTCTGGATGTTATTCTTGGTTTGGCAGACTGCACCTGATGCAGCATATGTTGCAAGACATGTGGCCCTTCGGTCTGGAATCAAGGATGACAAGCCAGCTTTAACTGTGAATCGCCTGTGCGGGTCAGGGTTCCAGTCCATTGTCAGTGGAGCCCAGGTATGATTTTTTTTTCAGTAGTATGCATGAGGGGAAAGATATCTTAGCTTTTGGTTCTCCTCAGTTCTCTTGTCTTAGAAAACACAGTGTGAAACAAGCATTGTCCTAGTAGAATAAAACAGCCTGAATATTTTCAAGGTGTATTTTTATTGCGTTGGGGAGATGTTAATTTAAATAACGGGTTTTGCCCTTACCCATTATATATGTTGGGTAAGGGCAAAACTCGTTATTTAAATTAGCCTGAATATTGGTGTTAGTCCAAGAAAACTTACCTCTATTTTGACACTTGACAAATTGTGTACCTGTACATGATTTAACCCTCCAGAACTATTATTGATTTCAGGACATTCTGACAGGAGATGCAGAAGTTGTTTTGACTGGGGGTACAGAGAACATGAGCATGGCCCCATATACAGTCAGAGGGACTCGTTTTGGGACAAAGCTTGGCGTTGACCTCAAGGTAAGACCAGTCCTCCATATCTAACATCCAGACTAACTGTTGTGTTTCCTGCTAGCATGTGCCTTTGAATTTACATCCACTAAAGGCCAAATATTATAAGAGATTGTGACATCATACCTGAAAAGATACCTGTATTTTATTAATGTGGGTTGATTAGAGTAGGAAAAAAGAATGTATTCTCTCTGTTTTATTCTTACATGTTCAGGCTTCTTGCACACTTTGCATAGCATGTATATTAATAAAAGAGACATTTTGGAGATTTAGCAAGCTTTGGTGTGTGGGGACAACATTGTTCAACAGTTCAAACCTTAGAACCCTGCAAGTCTGTCTGCTGAAGTCAGTAGTGTAGCCATTCATTATCTTGGAGACATTTCACCTATTATTATTAATAGTAGTAATCGTTTCTGGTAATGACACCAAAGATTCCTCAGAAGTGACGTAGGAGCAGTTACAGTTTTAAAGTTGGAAGGAAAACCTTGGAGGAATATTCTGGGTAAAACCCCCAGAATCAATTTGGGACTAAAAACCAATCCACTATGGACTGGGTGGGGATTTAAATCAGGACCACAGAGGTGAAAGGCGAGGAAAGAACCATTACGCCAACATGACTCCCCCTTTTGGCCTATAGCTTGAAGACACACTGTGGGCCACATTGACAGACTATCACATCAAGACACCAATGGGAATGACAGCAGAGAAACTAGGAGGTCAATATGGAGTCACCAGACAGGATTGTGATCAGTTTGCTATGCTATCTCAGCAACGTTGGCAGAGAGGTACATATCTCAGTTCATGGAGGGATAGAAGTCCTCTTACAATAATTGGATTTCATCAGGCCTTTGTCACCCTTCAGCTACCTTACATGAATACCCAGTACATGCGTGTGTGTGTGAGTTTGTTTCTGCATTCAATTGGGGACCCTCAACAATAG